AAATTAATATACTTCTGATGTAATTATTTTTAATTTGTGTTAAAATTACACAACCATTTACTGTTATTATGTAATATAGCTATGAGTTATGTCAAAATAAAATTAGGCTAATAAAACTGAAATAATAGCAAAATTAATCCATTTCTTCCATTTTATCTTCCCTGCTAGTCCAGTATAGCTAATTCCGACTTCAATTTTTTAAGTTACAGCCATTTTAAGAAAACATCAAAAATCTGAAAATTACCCAAGGCTATAGCCCATGGTTTTTTCCAAAAAATGGCTCCGAAATCATTCCAAATTTTTATTAGATTTTCTGATACATATTAATGTCTTTATGCTGTGTAGAAAGTTTGAGCTGATTCCGACTTCAATTTTTCAAGTTACGGCCATTTTAAGAAAACGTCAAAAATCTGAGAAATACCCAAGGCTATAGCCCATGGTTTTTTCCAAAAAATGGCTCCGAAATCACCCCAAATTTTTATTAGATTTTCTGATACATATTGATGTCTTTATGCTGTGTAGAAAGTTTGAGCTGATTCCGACTTCAATTTTTCAAGTTACGGCCATTTTAAGAAACGTCAAAAATCTGAGAAATACCCAAGGCTATAGCCCATGGTTTTTTCCAAAAAATGGCTCCGAAATCACCCCAAATTTTTATTACATTTTCTGATACATATTGATGTCCTTATGTTGTGTAGCAAGTTTGAACTGATTCTGACGTCAATTTTTCAAGTTACAGCCATTTTAAGAAAATGCCCAAATTCTGAAAAATACCCAAGGCTATAGTCCATGTTTTTTCCCAAAAAATGGCTCCGAAATCACTCCAAATTTTCATTACATTTTCTAATACATATTGATGTAATAAGGCTCTACCTTCATGTACATGTCCTTATGTTATATTCTCCAGGTGATGGTGATCAGTTTGCAGTCAATGATCAGTTCACTAGTAAGTTGGTACGTGTTAAGATACAGGCCATCAGTGCTAAGGGGGAGACTGAACCAGAGAGAAAGGAAACAAGACAGAAAGTTGATGATGATAGAAAACACGAGTATCCTACTTAATCTTACCTACTGTAGTCATCTCTTTATCAATTTTTAAAGTTGCTCAATAATTAGGCCAAAGTCCTTGTACAGTGCAGGGTCATTGTCCAAATTTTGCTCAAAATGAAAAGGAGAAAATTCTCTATTTTTATAATTTTTTCAAATACATATACATGTTCGTGTATTGCGTGGAAAGTTTGGACTGATTCCAATCAAATTTGGTTTTTTTATGAATTCTTAAAGTTGCTCCCAAATTGGATCTCAAAGTCCCTGTACTATAGTATACATGATTCGTTGTTCCTTAGCTACTGGTTAGGATTGAAGCTGCTATAGTTCGTATAATGAAGGCTCGGAAGAGACTCCCTCACAACAGTTTAGTGGCCGAGTGTGTGGAACAACTTAAGAACCGGTTCCCTCCTAACGCTATGATCATTAAGAGAAGAATTGAAAGTTTAATTGAAAGAGATTATCTATCAAGATCACCTGATGACAGGTAAGGCAATAATAATAAATGAATGAATAAAATTAATTTATTGTACATGTACATGTAGTTGTGTACCATTATTTTGTACTTTATGAGTATTAAAGTGCTTACAAATTTTGTGTTTTGTTCTTCAGAAATTTAGATTTTTCTTTTTGTATTGTTTTATTGTAGGAAAGTTTATATATATATGCCATAGGATCAAATTCACTCTCTCTCTCTCTCCTTTTCTCTGTTTGTAACTTTTTTCAAATTTGTACTGTATCATTATTATTATTATTATTATTATTATTATTATTATTATTATTATTATTATTATCATTATTATTATTATTATTATTATTTTGTTGATGATATTCTGTTAGTTTTCATTTTTGATTACAAATTTAATGACACGAGAATCATCAATGAAACCATTATACGTACACACATTCTGATTATTATTATTATTATTATTATTATTATTATTATTATTATTGTTATTAATTGAATTATTAAAATTAATGTCAATGGATAATAACATGATCATCTTTCCACTTAAGTTGTTCATTATTCATTACTGTGTACAGACAAGGAGCAGAACACAACTGAAGAATGAAAGGTAAGTGTCTATTATTATTATTATTATTATTATTATTATTATTATTATTATTATTATTATTATTATTATTATTATTATTTACTTGTGGTGAGTTGTGTGTGTTTTCTTTCCACAGTAACTGATGGAAGTAGTTACTATCCACCAGTAGTTGTTGTAGTTGTATGTTTAGTGTAGTAACTGGTAGTCCTGATAACTGATTACACTGCACATTGAGCCTCTTTAAGTTACTATAAATAGAACAATACTGTTACTATAAATAGAATAGTTTATTACTAAATAGAACAGCACTGTTACTATAAATAAAATGATTTATTACTACATTTGAATGGTTTTAGAACCTTCTGTTGCTATATATAGAATCATTACTGTTACTATTAATAGTAACACTCATTACCACAGTTGCTGTATGTCCCTTGATATCCATTGGAGGCTATTGTGTGATACATCAAGCTCCTCTAATGAATACAGCTCAAACTATTAACATTAATCCTGTACCCTTGTGGTAGATCAGTTAGTAGGTTGAATGGTATTGATAATAATTGAAGTGACTTTAAGCTTCTTATAGCTATAAAGTAACAAATTAGTTAACAATGAAAAATGCATTAATGATAATTATCCCTCCATCTCTCTATCTATATGTACATTATACCTGATGGTATTTCTCTTATTGGGTTGTTTCTTAATCTCAAATCTTTTAATTGTGTCAATTGACATATGTCCTTTGGAAATACCTGTATAATAATGATTATTAATATAATATACAGGATAACTATTTCTATTATAATGCATGATAATAATACTGACCTGTAGACAGTTGAATGATACATTGAGGTGTGTTAGTGTATTGCTCAGTGGTAGTAGTGATGGTAGTTCTGATAGGAAATGAGCTTTGAATGAGAGCATGTGTCCTCCAGTCACCATTGACTGTAGTATTGCTACTTCTGCAGGTCCAATGGCCTCATTACCTGAACTATCATCTATAGAAATAAAATAATAATGAATAATGATAATAAAATGATATTCATTACCAAATGGGCTGCTTGTTCTCTGCTCTCCACAAAAGAACTTTGAAGCTCTGCTCTGAATGATGACATCATCTCTATTCTCTAACTGAATATCAGCAGAGGGTCTCCTTTCAACACTAGTCTCAGCCTCTCTTAGTAACTCAGTCAGCATGGACTTGAACTCTGCACATCATCATGAAGAGAGGAGAGACAGAGAGAGGTTATAAAGACATTATAATTTATTGTATATAGTCCCTACTAGTAGTAACTGGTGGTGAGGCTTACGAGTGTCATTTGCCAACTGTTGGACTGAAATAAAGAAAGAGAATTATGTAAAGGAAATTATAGTAACAAATTAATAGAAAAAACCTCTTAAGTTCAAAAAGCACTATTATGCAAGTGCATTCACATAATTATGTACATGTACAATAACTGTTCAAAATAATAGTTCATGGTGCATACAAGTGGCACTGAAACCCTTCATTAAAGTGTATGTATATTTAAATAAATTATAATTATAATCATAATAAGAGCGTTTACTTTCAATATTTCTAGTGTGCATGACTGAGTGTCTAGGAGCATTAAAAGAGAACCAGCCAGTCATTTTAAGATAATTATCCCTAGAGAGTACAATAGAATCTGATGACACCAATCTCCTAGTACAGGCTCCCCTAGCTGTATCAGTACACAACAAGAAATCACTTAATGTAAAGGAGTCTAATGGTGGAGTAGGGAATGGAGGAGGACTAGGTATCTCTGTATGTTTAATTATCTTTCCCATTGGTAGAGGAGGAGGCCCTTTAGGATAGAGTGGGTGTATGTAAGGTAGGTTTGGTAGTCTTTGCTGTATACCGTAAACGTAAAAATTTTCGTTTTTTTTCGTGGGCCGCACAGATCCACGAAATTTTAATGCAAGGGTGTGGTGGTTAATTTAATAGGCCATGTGACAGCCACACATACTGACCATGAATATTACTCGTCTCTCTTTCACACTTCAGCATCTCTGCTTCCCAGATCTCCTTATATACATGGTAACCCCTGATAACTGAAAAGATAGTGAAGATACACATGAGGTAGGCATCTCTGCAGGTGTCGCAATGTCGCCACGTGGTCAATGAATTAATAAGATTGGGTAACGCCTACCACGAAATTTTTAATGCACGAAAATTAGTTTTTATGAAAAAATTCCAAAAAATATGAAAATTTACACCACGAAAATTTTTACGTTTACGGTGTCTTGTTCTAGAGGTTCTCTTCTCTTGTTACTAGAGAGAGAGAGGGCTCCAGTCTTTTTGCTAGTTTTCAAATACTGACTGGAGGGAGGGAGAGGCTTACGATACAACACAACACCACTGGAACTCTTATCCGCCATCTTAGATCTTGTTTATAATTAAGCTCTTAATCTCCATGGTAACAAAAGTGTTTTCATGGTAACAATTTTTATCAATCACGTGATTTATGTTGGTGACTTGGTGTTAAGAAAGTAAATAAAAAACATTAAAAATGGGAACTG